TTGCATTATTTGCTCTAAATTTAATTGAGGTGTAGTAGGGATTTCTTTTGAATTATAATTATTATGACTGATTCACATAAATACTCCAGAGAGTAATGTCTATAGCAGTTAGAATGAACAAAATTTATAATGGTGTTTGTTCAGCTCTTCTTGGATTCAGTCTGTGACATCTATAAGTGTGTAGTCTTGAGCAAATTTCTTAATTTCTCTAAGTTTCTATCATAGAACTCTAATATCATATCAGGTTTGCTGACTGTTGGAAAGAATAAGAAGTTGATGTAATAATACCTCACAAAGAGAATGCTAATACTTATTTCTTACACTGTATAGCTTTATATAGTATATACATGTGCAAACTTACAAAATATATGAAATTTTACAGACAAACAGATATAAATTTGTTCATATTTACTTATACAATGAGGTCCTATGAAAAATATTTTGATTTCCTTGACTAGGTAATTATACTTGAAAGTTCACTTAAAATTGAAATAAAAATATGAAATCAGACGGGCGCTGGTGGCTCACTCCTGTAATCCTAGCTGCTCAGGAGGCTGAGATCTGAGGATCGCGGTTCAAAACCAGCCCTGGCAGGAAAGACCGTGAGACTCCTATCTCCAATAAAACCACCAGAAAACTGGAAGTGGCGCTGTAGCTCAAGTGGTAGAGCGCTCGCCTTGAGCTGAAGAGCTGAGGGACAGTGCCCAGGCCCAGAGTTCAAGCCCCACGACCGACAAAAAAAAAAAACATGAAATCTTTCAAATATAAAACTTGAAGCTTAAAATATTAAAGTATGATAATCGCCTTGAGCTGAAGAGCTGAGGGACAGTGCCCAGGCCCAGAGTTCAAGCCCCATGACAAAAAAAAAAAATGAAATCTTTCAAATATAAAACTTGAAACTTAAAATATTAAAGTATGATAATTTTGAGATTTAATAGGAAATATCAGTGAAATCTTGGTACAAAATGGGTTAACAAAAATGCCATGCTTTAGATTGTATGATTTTTATTTTAAAATAATATACATTAAACTAAATATGAGAAAAATATTTATGATATTAAGCATCATTAAATTTTTATTTACAAACCTAGTTACTGTTAATTTTGTTGTTTTTCATCATCACTGAATTCAGCAAAAGTACACGTAGGATTTTAAGCCTAAATTGACCTAGGAACAAATTGCTGAATTAGATTACACCTTGTCCCACTATTTCTGTGATTGCCATCCCCAAATCAGATAAACCTATATACAAGTCAAAAAAAAGGTAGAGAAATAAAAAAATGACAACAGTGAATAAACCAAAGAGGGAAAAAGAAAGAAAAAAGAAATAACTGTGCACAGTACAATAAAAATCACTTGTTTCCATTTCTTGGAGTTCATTTTGATAAGCATTATTTTATATAGTCATATCCATATAGCTATTGAGGTACTCTGGATCCTCTATTAAGACTACCTTAAACATATTCTAGTTATTACAAATGAGGGAACGCATGCAGCTTATGTTTCTGAGTCTAGCTTACTTTGCTTACTTTCAGGGATCATTTCTATAGTTTGTTAACAGCCATTTTAATCTACCTGTATTACAAAGGAGTACAAATGTTTGCATGTGGATCACAGGACTATCTCAAAAATAAATATACTTTTCCAACAGAAAAATAATATAAGGTTATTTGCATGTCTGTGAGTGTGTGTGTGTGTGTGTGTGTGTGTGTGTGTGTGTGTGTGCTGGGCCTGGGGCTTGAACTAAGAGTTTGTCTACTGTCCCTGACTGAGCTTTTTGCTCAGTCTAATACTCTATCATTTGATCTTCAGCTCTGCTTCTGCCTTTTTTGGTGGTTAATTAGAAATCAGAGTGTCACAGACTTTCCTTCCCTGGCTGGCTTCAAATCGCAGTCCTCATATTTTAACATCCCTAGTAACTAGGATTACAGGCCTGAGTCACTGGCAAACAACTCTGTATGAGATTTTTTTTTTAAACATTATTGCTGGAGATATTTAAATTCAAGAATCAAAGGCGTATGCATTATGCAAAATGAAGGGAAATAATGTACTATTTTCCAACAAATATAAAGATATAAAGTTAATGTGTATCAAGTTGTACAGTCATCAAATCAAACAACTATTTAGTAGCTTAGTTTACTACCATATTTTGCAGTCTTACGTTTGCTTTGTTTTTTCTTATAATATAGAGAACTATTGATACATTTACACACACATAGGTACATACATGTATGCACATATACATATATGTACAAAAATATATAATTTGTTATGTGTAAAATATATCATATATTGTCTGTGTTGTATAATAATATAAATGTAATTATATATAATGGTACATAACATACTATTTATGTATGCATATATAATTTATTTAACTATATGTATTTTAACACATATTCTATTTGATGGTTTCCATTTTAACCTTCATTAAGTTTGTCTTATATTTGCCCCAGGTAGCCTTAGGAATGGTAGGTATACATATTCCTGCTGAAGAGTACTAGAGTTGACCAAATTGAGTCAGTTTCCTTATATTTGTCTTCCTAAAGTATCATATAAAGTTTTCTTTGAGGAAGTGGCACTGTGGCTCAAGTGGTAGAGTGCTAGCCTTGAGCTGAAAAGCTGAGGGACAGTGCTCATCCCAGAGTTCAAGCCCCATGATCGACAAATTTTCTTTCAGTAAAACCCCTCTCCTCAGGGACAATCACAATGTTTATGTTTGTAGTAATACTAGGGAATGTACTTTATAGCATACAAAAATCAAATTCATACTTTTAGCAATGATATTTCTATTTGGACCATTAGTTGTGAAAAACTTGCTCTATTTATATCATACTTTGATACTGTGAAATCTATAAAGACCAACCATTTATTACTCTGACAGTGTTCTCATAAACAGAGGATAATATGATACATGCAAATGAACAGTCTCAGGAATTAGCAACTTGTCATGCTACTCTTGTGACATCAGAAAATGTTACTATATTCTATTTTTTGTCCTAACCCTTAATGTAATTTCTGCCTACTTGGAATTGCTATAACTGATATAAAATTTGGGACCCTACCTGGAAGAGGTACTTTTTTTGCACTTCTGTTATCATCACTTAATTATCTTTCTACTCTTTTGATGCTTCAACACTTACGTGTATTTCTCAGTTGCCTCATGTCTGGATACGTAGGAATTTTCTGAATTTGAGGACTATTCTTAACAATACTGTCTTTCCAATGACTCTGATGGTCTTGCATCCATCATTGAATATCCGGAGTTTTACCTATTTATCCCAAGATCTTATTCAAATTCCTACACCTAAGTAGTTCACTTTAATTGCTACTTGTAGCTTAAAGTATGTTTTTGTTTTACATAAAATTTAACATAAACTAAAACATCGCTGTAAATAAAGCCATAAGGTTTCATCCTAAATATAGTCAAATAGATTAGAAACATGAAAATATTTCACCTAGAAACAAACACAAGTGTACAGTCAATATGCAGTGAAGGACATTTTTAATTTACTTTATAACTAATTTAAAAAAATTAAAAATTATACCTATTCATGGATACTGTGTAATCATTTTAATACAGGAATATATGGCATAACTAATTTAAAACAATTAAAAATTATACCTATTAATGGGTACTGTGTAATCATTTTAATATAGTAATATATGGCATAATGTTTAAATCAAGGTAAACATGCTCCATCACATAGATGCACCATATTCTCTTTATGCATTCATCAGGTGATGAGCCTAATGACCATTTCTTTGGTTTTTGTAAAACCTGTTGCAATAAACATGAGACTGAAGATATTTCTTCCACATAATATTTGATTTTCCTTAGGTATTTACCACCAAGTGGGATTGCTAGATCAGATGAGGCTCTATTTTAAATTTTTTGTGAAAATTCCATTCTGTTTTCCATAATAGTGTGCTTATTTATAATTCCATAAACACTGCAAAAGTCATCATTTTCCCACATTCTTGCCAGCACTGTTTTAATTTTAATGTTTTATTATCTTTAGTTGTACAGAGTACTTGCCATTTAACAAACCATCATCTTGATGATGTGAATGATCCTCTTGATCAGTGTCACTCTTTCAACATTCTTACCTATCCTTCCCAAACCACCCTTTCCTTCACTTTTATTTTGTAGGATATACATTGAGTTCTTGCCTGTGTTCTCACTTCCAACTTCTCACTTCCAACCCTCTTCTTCTCTTCATTAGTATATCTCTGTCCCTTGACATTTCAAGTACCCTTCCAACCCTTTCAAGTACTCTTTCCTGGTGTTTATTTTGTTGAATTTTGACTTTGACTTTTTAAGGAACTACATTATTTGAACTTTCCCTTGAGTCTACCATATCTCAGTTAATACATTTGTACTCACTTCCACATTACCCAAAGTACCAACTTATAAGTTTATATGCTCATTATTGCTCTTCCAAGTACTTTATATCTGTTTAATCTTTTGGAGTAATAACCATTCTTATTGGTTCTTAGATTGGTTCATGATTAAATGATGATGAGCATATTTTCCATGTGTTTGTGGGTCTCTTTTAAGAAATGCCTGTTTCAATTCATTGCTAATTTTTAAAATATTGTTACTTATGTATTTGGAAAAATTCTAACTTCTCACTTTACTTATTAAAATGTGTGTATACACTTCTTTTTAAAAATTATCAGCAAAGGTTATTGCCTGAATGTCACATGCATTGTCAGGGAATTTAAGTGACAACTTTGATATTTATGTAATAGTACAGGGATAGAATCCTGGCTAGCAAGCTGATCACCATGAGTGCTCTCCCTGCTGGCAAGGGGAGCCATTCTTGTCTCGTTGATTGCTAATTTTGCTGCCACTGATCTTACTGCTGTTAATCTGGACCCAGATATGACTTAGACACACTGCAGACCAGACTGCTGAGTTGGGACTTAGTAAAATCATACTTTCATTCTGCTATCCTAATGGCTCGCTCTGGTTGTTTTTCCCTCTTATGTTCTAGAATGATTCCTGGGGAAAGCAGTATTCCTACGCACTCTTCAAGGCGATGAGTCACATGCTGTGCATTGGGTATGGAGCCCAAGCCCCAGTCAGCATGTCCGATCTATGGATCACCATGCTCAGTATGATCGTGGGAGCAACTTGCTATGCCATGTTTGTGGGCCACGCGACAGCTTTAATCCAGTCATTGGATTCTTCCAGGCGGCAATATCAAGAGAAGGTATTTTGTTTTATCTCTCATATCTTCAATACACTACTTACTAAGTTCAGTTAATTGTCTTAAAGCTACTCAAACGATCTCTGATCAAAATTTTAATGAGTTAACATGCTTAAAATTAGAAAACAATCTGTTTTGATATTTTGAGGTTTTCTCATGATCCTAATAGTACTCATTTATTTTTAATTCCTTTCTGGACTAATCAATTAAAAAATAGATCTACAATCATAGCTATGTGTCTTAAAATGTATGAAGCTAATGTAATGTGTTATTATTGTTCAAAATATATCACATTTCAAAGGGATATTTCAATATTATATAATTATAACCCTCTCTAGTATAGGTTAGAAGGACATCAGTGACCCAATAGGAACAGATCCCACTGTAGAACCTCTCTCTGCATGCTATAATCTTAATTTCTATTACAATTCACACACTTAGCTGAGCATATGTTGTACTTATATCTAGATAACTTACCACACCCCAGAATCTTAAAAATGCATGTTAACAGCTGCTATCATGTATTCTTATTTGCAATGTGTTAATTAAAATGATGGCTGTTTAAAACTTTTCTGAAAAAGAGAGGGACTAAAGTAAGTTTCTGCAATGATTGATTCAGTGCATTAAAAATATGTACTTAATTACATTGAGGAGTTAAATATTAGATCATTGTACACTACTAAAATTCCTAGAAAAAATCAATAAATAATAATAAAAATAATAAAAATCAATTCTGAAAAATCAAAAGTATTTTATAGTTGAAAAATGTATAAGAGTTTTATTAGTCTATTTAATAATAAAGACTTCTCTTAGTGTCTTAGCATGGCTCTCTTTCTCCTGACAAAACACGACATTCACTTTCCAAAAGAGCATTTCTGAAAGTTGTCCTTAAAATGGTCTCGAATACATGTGCCAACTGATAATATCTTTATTTCAATTATTTTTTAAACAACTGAACATTATTTTAGCTGTGGCTTTACTTACAGAAATCTTCAAACTATAATCACACAATAAGGAAAAAGAACCTAGGTATTTTATTTCCCTTCAATATATTACACTGCCACAAACCATTAAAGTGAGAAAGATGGTATTTTAGTAGTCAAGTAATGAAAAGTGGAGCCATCAAAACTGATTTAAAGTTTTTTGAAATGAAAGCTCCAATTAAATTGTAAAGAACAAAAAGCATAATAAGAGAGAAGAGTCTATATTCTATTGAATTTAACTAAAATTGATAAACTCAAATGGACTTTGGGCTTACAGTCTTGCCTTTTCTTACTTTCTTTTGGCTATATGTAAAAGCAATCCTTTCTGATTTTTTTCTGCTCCACTGGTTTATATTGTCTTAAACAGATTTTCAGAATTTCACTGTTTAGCATTGTCTGGCATAGTAAATGAATCCTAATTTACTGGGTTGAGGAAGCCATATAGGCCAAATTTAATTCAGGGACAAAATTTATGTAACACTACAATCATAATTCTTATTTTTATTTTTTGCCTAGCATGAGGATTGAAGTCAGGGCATAGAGTTTGCTAGGTGAGTGGTGTATCACTCGATCCAAACCTCTAGTCTCATCAGAGACATTTATATGTAAAAATATTGTTAATTTTGTTGCATTTCAAGTTATAAAGTTGTTAATCTGACAAATGCTTGTTACAGAGCAAGGAAACTGGAATAGCCCCTCAGCTATCCCTCAGCGCTGTCCTTCAGCTCTTCAGCTCAAGGTTAGCGCCCTACCGCATGAGCCACAGTGCCACTCTGGCTTTTTTCTGCTTATGTGGTGCTGAGGGATCTATCTATCTATCTATCTATATATATATATCTATATATTGACATATAGATATATATAGTTATCTGTCTTATAACCAAGATCTGCCAGTAAATTGAGTTCTACCTTACTGTATTTATTATTTTGTCGGTGGTAAGGCCTCAACTCTGGGCCTGGGCACTGTCCCTCATCTCTTCAGCTCAAGGCTAGTGCTCTACCAGTTGAGCCACAGCACTACTTCCTGCTTTTTCTGCTTATGCAGTGTTCAGGAATCGAGCCCAGGGCCTCATGAATGCAAGACAAGCACTCTACCACTGAGCCACCTTCCCAGCCCAACTGCATTTATTTTTAGTCAGAATCATTACTATTCTTACACAGATATTCACAATCATACTTTTATGATATATATACATACATACATACATGCATATATATATATATATATATATATATATAAAACTTCTAGCGTTCTAGCAATATTACAGGGTTTCTTTATTTCTCTGAATAATGTATGGTTGAATGAGAGCTTCTTCTGTGATTTGGCCATTTGACTTCTTTGCCAAATCAGTTTTTGCTTAAATGAAATTGCCATAATCTCAAAGTCACCATTGGCTGCTTTGCAGTATAAAATTGTTGATGATTTGTCTATTCTCATATTGTGCTACCAGTATCTCTAGTTCTAAAACATGTTCCCTTCATCAAGAAGAACCCTGTAGTCATTCCTCATATCATCTTTCTTTACTAGAGGTCAATTATTAGTCAATTTTGTGTCTCAGTTTCCTGGTTCTGAATATTTCGTTAAAAATCTGATAAGATAAGCCGGGCGCTGGTGGCTCACGCCTGTAATCCTAGCTACTCAGGAGGCTGAGATCTGAGGATCGCAGTTCAAAGCCAGCCCTGGCAGGAGAGACCGTGAGACTCCTATCTCCAATAAACCACCAGAAAACTGGAAGTGGCGCTGTAGCTCAAGTGGTAGAGCGCTCGCCTTGAGCTGGAGAGCTGGACTGCGCCCAGGCCCAGAGTTCAAGCCCCACGACCGACAAAAAGAAAAAAAAAATCTTATAAGATTCATTCCTATCTATCAATATTTTCCATTTTATGACTAATTATTATCATAATGAATGACATGATTTATTCATTAAATGGTTGATAGACTTTTGAGATGTTTCTACCCACCTTTGCCTACTATAAATAGTACTACTAACATTTCTGCAATAGTATTTGTTTGAGTATCTATTTTCTTTTGAGTATACACTTAGGAGTAGAGTCACTGAATCATAAGATAACTCTATTTAAGTGCTGGGAGAACTACTTAATTATTCTCATGTTTAATAATTCCCTTTAGGTATCTTGAAACTCTGTCACTAATTCCTGTATAATTAATATTGGTATTATGTTTTACTTCTTGATAGCCAGTGATAACATTTCTATGTAATCAAAGCAAGCTGTACTATTTTTTTGCAGTAACATTGCACTGAGTTATATCATTTATCACACTGGCGTAAGTAAACAGGTTGATCAGGTTTGATCTGGTCCAAGTCATAAGCCCATTGTTTTATTTTGAAATCCCATTCTTTGAAATTTTATTTGAAATGTCATCCTTCCCAGGGAACTTTCTGTGTCTGTGTATCTCTATCATCATAACTAGTAGCATAAATTATTAATTGTGAGACCTTTAACTAAATGATATTTCAGTGCTAAAATATGACAGGGCTATCACATTTACACCATCATTTTCATCAATACCACCACTATCATTCTGATGTTTAGTTTTCTTTTTTGGCTAGATGCATCTGATAATCTTTATGTGGCATTGAAGATTAAAATTTCATTTCAATCAAAAGAAATACTTATGATCTCATGGGTTATCATATTTTATATTTCATATAACTCCATTCTACCATTTTCTCAGGAAGACCTATGGTGTGAAAGTAGTATTTAAAATGTGTCTACACTTATCCTGTATGCATTACAAGAAATTTCAATAGTTTCTTTAACTGTACTGAACAAACTCAACTTTAGACAGAACCAAAGCAGTTTTAATTTGGGGTGAAAATGTCTATTTTTAATTTGATGAATTTTATCTTTCCTGAGAAAATTCAGTTCTTCACAAATTCAACTTATAGTTTTTTAGGGGCTAGAAGCTCAGAGTAACAAAAGATGATTGGCTCATAGTCTCTTTCCTCCCTCCTATCATAAACCTAAGTAGAAGGTGTTATCTTTCTAGGATAGAACGGAAGCGTTAAGAGGAGGTAAGAAACAATTCAAATCTGACCGGCAGATGTACTAAGCAGATGTTTCTGAGTGGGTCTGTTGCTGGTTACAAGTGATATATTCCATATGAAATCTTTTGTGCACTATGTGAGATCTATTGAATTCTATTTCACTTGGTGAGATCTAAAGAGGATTTGGATGAATGGTAGAGCAGATCAGCTTCTAAACTCTTAAGAATCTCTTCCAGGAAACTAATCATTGTCCTTTACAAACACAAGAAATCCTTCTGCTACACTTTTACTTTCCTTGCTCACCTTCTCCAAGGCTCACACTTCATTTTTCTTTTGGAAAGCTATATGTCTCCCAGACCATTCCTACCTACAATATTCTGAGTTCTGTGTATACTATCTTTGTCCAAAGGAAATATAAATACCATGTTAGGAACATTTGCATCTTTGCTGTTGTATGTTTTATCCCAACTCATGGCATTGAACCCAAAGTTACATCCTGGTTTTCACCTCTTTCTCTTTAAATGAAACCACTACTGTACTTTTCTGATTTTCATGGGGTATTTAATTTCAGAAAAGAGGATTTAAAATTTATGATGGTATTGACTTAAGAAAATCATGGGCTGGGAAGGTGGCTCAGTGGTAGAGCGCTTGCCTTGCATGCATGAGGCCCTGGGTTCGATTCCTCAGCACCACATAAGCAAAAAGAAAAAAGCTGGAAGTGGCACTGTGGCTCAATTGGTAGAGCACTGGCCTTGAGCTGAAGAGCTGAGGGACAGTGCCCAGGCCCAGAGTTCAGGGCCCATGACCGGACCCAAAAAAAAAAAAACAAAAAAAAAAAAAAGAAAATCATATATACATAGTAATTAAATGAAAATTTATTTGATTCTCTAATTTTCAATTGGATCATTCTTAATAAGAAAAGATAAATCTGAAATCCATGTCCATTCAACAGGAAACAGTTTTTCTTGGTTTTCTTCCTAATTCATAAATGCATTTTTCTTATTTCACAAAC